TTTTTAAACAGTTATTTATATAATTCACTACTTATTTCAATGTTTAGATATTATATACAATGGATAGCGCCATAGTCAAGTAGTGGTTCTTAACTGGTGTGCCGCGACACACTACTGTGGCGTGAGAATTTTGTGATAATTGTAATTATGCTGGCAAAAAATACTGAAAACAGTACTTTATTTCATAACATTTGTGTTGAATGTGCCGCGAAAACTTGTATAATAATAATGTGCCGTGAATCAAAAAAGCTTGAGAACCAAGATTAGGTACACTTAAGACGATAATGTACTATAATCAAGGCCGACTCTAGATAGACAAAATATATACGTACTAGGCAAAATCAAAATTTGCGGCCCTTTCGATTTTGTAGTTTAAGTATCAACATAATATTACCCTAAATACGGCCCAGCCTATTACCGAAGATATGCCGCCTCAGCCTGACTACAATAGTATAATATGTTTGCTACGAGTCACTAGTTATATGTGGCCTCTATAGCGCAATGCGTATACATGGGCCTATGTATTTTATCACAAACTATTTATTGGCATTTCTTAGCTATGTGAAAATAATAAACTTTTTCATAATTTCTCACCATGAAAACAAAACTATAAGTACCTACTACCTATACATAATTTTTCATAAGTTAAAGTTAATATTATGTTATTTTTCCCYGCGTTTGAAAAAATAACTGCGTAATTTCATTTTTAACCTCTCAAAAGTACCAACTACAATAAAAAATATAGATCCACGTTCCTATAAGTATAATAAAATCGAATAAATGATGCTGATGCTGAACAGCTGAAGTTGAAAATCGGAGCATTATTTTGACTCTTTATCGTGTATATGCAGTCATGCAGACACAAATAAAAATAAAAATCATTATTGTTTGTTGTTAAAAATTGGGGTGTGAAAAATAGTTTACATCACTCTCTGAAACCTAATTAATATAAACAACAAATTTCATGAAAATCGGTCCAGCCGTTTTGGAGGAGTTTGGTAACAAACATTGTGACACGAAATTTTTATATATTAGAGATATTATATACCTATATATTATTATTATTGTGTATATAAATATTTTTTATGTATATAATTATTATCGACTATTGGCTTTCCGTAATTCCGCGACGGCAGAACGCAACAAATAAGGGCCGTTTCACATGGACGCGTATTGTGTTTTCTCATTCTCAGTACTCCACTATAACAAGTATAACATACCATATTTACAGCGGCCAAAATAAAATACGATATAATATCATTATCATAGGCGTTAATACAGTCCTTATCGCAATAATATTATGGAAATTTAATTTCACGCTATTTTTAGATTTTTTTCCCATTTACGACACCAAGCGTCGCCGCGACTCACGATTTTATCCGTATGCTTATCAATACTACACTGTTGTCTTTTACATAATATTCTAGAATATACTATAACTATTAACCAGTATAACCTAAGAATTAACAAATCACCAAATTATAACGTATTAACGTCCCGACGCGCGACGCGACGTTCGACTCATCCGACGCTATTAATTATTATATTATAATTTATAATGTATTAATGTGCTATTTCTGCTATTGCCTATTACGTTTACCGTTTACCAATTTACCATATACGTTTACGTACTA